GGCATGTGCCATCATGTCCAGCTAGATCTTTTTTCCTTTTCTGATAATATACAATATAAATTTCCTTAAATTGTGCTTTCATTTAATTCAAAATATGTTATTAATTTCTCTTGCGATTTCTCCTTTGACCTATGTGTTATTTACATATGTATTGCTTAATATTGATGAATATTGATTTCTAGTTCATAGTCTGAGAAGCAGTTTTGTCTGATTTCTGTTCCTTTAGATTTGTTAAGAGATTTTTTATGGCTTAGAATATTGGTGAATGTTCCCCATGAGCGTGCAGAATGTCTGTTCTCCTGTTGGGTGGAGTAGTTTGTGTCCATTATATCAAACTGCCCGAGGGTGGTATTGCGTTTAAGGGTATCGTTTCTGGTTTTCTGCCTGGTGGATCTGTCTGTTTCTCACTGAGGAGGGGAATTAAAAGGCTCAGTCGCAGTAGTGGATCCATCCTTTGTCCTTGCAGCGTTAGCAGTTTCTATCTCTCATATTTTGCTGTGTTGTTAGGTGCATACACGTTAAGGACTATTACCATATCTTGAAGAACTGACCCCTTTATCATTATTTAATGCTACCCTTTATCCTGATGACATCCCTTACTTTGAAGTGTACTCCACCTGAAATTAATATAGCGACTCCCACTCTGTCTTAATGAGTGTTAGCATGGTCCATCTTTCTCTAGCTCTTTCCCCCAATCCGTTTTATTTATTTGGTACATGTAGATAACTAGTGTTTAATGTCAGTAGCTAACATCTACTGTCTCTATTACAGCTTGTTGTCCTTGTTCTTATTCCCATTTTTGTCTTCCACTCCTTTTCTTCCTTTTTTGGTTTTAGTTGAATATGTGGTGATTCCATCATCTCTCCTTTCTTAGCGTATCAGGTTTACTCCTGTTACATTTTAGTGGTTGTCTTCCTATAACACTATAATGCTCTACAGGTAGTGTAGATGCCTTATAATAAAATAACCATAATTCCTTATGTCCTTTGCATCTTTCAGGTATATAAGCTTATATAAATAGATAAATAAGTATACATAATTGAATACACTGTTGTTTTGAACAAATTTTTATGTTAGATCAATTATAAATAAGAAAAATAAGGGCTAGGGACTTCGCTCAAGTAGTAGTGCGCTCGCCTGGCATGCGCAGGGCGCTGGGTTCTATCCTCAACACCACATAAAAAATAAATAAAATAAACATATTGTGTCCACCTAAAACTAAAAAGTAAATATTTAAAAAAAGAAAAATAAAAGTTCCTACATTGCCTTGTTCCTTCTCCAGTATTCTTCCTTGCTTTATGTGAATCTGAGTTTTTTTACCTAGATCATTTATCCTAAGAACTTCTTTTAATATTTCTTGCAAAGCAGGACTACTGGAAACATTTTCTCAGTTTCTGTTTTCTAAGCTAGTCTTTCTTGATTTATTTCACAGGATACAGAATTCTGGATAGTTTTTTTTTTCTCTCTCTCAATACTTTAAACATTTCAGCCCATTCATTTCTTGCTTCCTTCTGTGGCTTCTGAAAGTCAGGTGTAATCCCCTCACCCCATCTTTCTTTTCTATGGGTAAGGTTTGTTTTCCACATCTGGCTTCTAAAGGAACAGAGTTTATCTTTGATCTTGTATAGTTTGAAAATGATACATGTCTAGTTTTTCTGGCATTTATGTTGTTTGATGTTCCCTGAATTTCCTGGATCTGTGCTGTAGTGTCTGAGGGTGAGTTGGGGAATTCTCCTTCATAATGGTTCCAAGTACCTCCTGTTGACTTCTTCTGCTCCTGGTGTCCCATTGTGTATAAGTTATAACTTCTGGAGCTGTCCCTCTGTTCTTGGGTATTCTGTTCGGGGTTTTTGTTTGGCTGGGTTCCCCTGCCAGTCTTTTTTCCCCTCTTTGCTTTGAAATTTTAGGTTTCCACTGAAATATCCTTCAACTCCAAGATTCCTTCCTTGAACATGTCCAGTCCACTAATAAGCCCATCAGGGAGGTCTTCATTTCCGTCACAGTGGTTTTTGTCCTCACGCGTTTTGGGTTCTTCCTTAGACTTCCATCATTCTGGTTGCCTTCCTTGCTTGCCTAGCCATTGGCATATTAAGTACAGCTGTTTTAAAGTCCCAGTCTGCTTATTCTGACACCTCTTTTCCCTCTGAGTCCCTGGTTTGGGGGTTTGTTCTTTGTCTTCAAACTGTTCATTGCCTTTTAGAATCTTGTCATTTTTTGTGGAAAGGTAGACGTGTTTTTTGGCAAAAAGGAACTGCTGTAAATGAGCCTGGAGTAAAGTGAGGGGTGGGGGGGAGCTTCTAGAGTCCTATGACTAGGCCTCAGCCTCTGAGTCTGAACCTCAAGCTGTGAACTTCGCAGGCTTTCTCATCATAATACCACCCTAGGTAGGACAGGACGGCTAGAGGGGGCAGGGTAGGCATTTCCTTCCCCACGGGTCACTTGTACTCTACTGTGATCCCCGCAGGTTAGGCTCTAGTTAGTTCTTCTGAGGGCTGCGTGCTCTGGCGTGTTCAAGATGGTTCCTTATGCCTGCTCTGCCAGAAGCACAGGGAGTTTTTCTCTGATATTTGCTATGAGGAGGTAGCTAAACTCCAGGAGGTAAAACTTACAAAGGTGTTTTCCCTCGCCACCCGCAGGGCTTGGCCCCCTTGCAGGTTCCCCTAAGATTGGACTATCCTGGCCTCCAGCCATTTGCCAATCACCATTCACATTCAGGCTTTCCTGCTCTGTTGTAGTCAGCTGTGGTTCTCTGTTCTGCTGGCTGGCTGGCTGGCTGGTCATCTTGATGACTGTCGTTTGCCCTGTGACCTTACCCCTCTCTCAGATCGAGGAGGAGTTGGGACTTTAATTTGTTTAGGTTTTTCCTTGTTAGGAGGAAACTTGGACTGGGACTTCCAAGTTTCTTACATGTCATACTGGAAACCAGAACTGTAATTTTTAGTTTAAAACTAGAGAAAAAATATATAAAACCAGAGTATATTTGTAACGCAGATTCTAATTTTTTTTTTTTAGAGAGAGAGCGAGCGCAGATTCTATTTTTTTTTTTTTTAGAGAGAGAGAATTTTTTAATATTTATTTTTTAGTTTTCGGCAGACACAACATCTTTGTATGTGGTGCTGAGGATCGAACCCAGGCCGCACACATGCCAGGCGAGCGCGCTACCGCTTGAGCCACATCCCCAGCCCCAGATTCTAATTTTATAGACAGAAGAAAGGGAAAGTTGGTATACCAGAAAACTTCATATTAAGTAAAAAAGAAGTCGTCTTCTCCAAAAATGTTAGAACATAGGTGCTTCTAAGCCGCATGGAGCATGGACAGCTCCCGTCCAGTGTCAGGGTCTGGGTGCTGCCTGCACTGGAACAGGGTGAGGCACAGTCTACCTGGAACTCTCCTTGGCATTTTCCTCTCTTACTCATTTAAGATGAGAAAATTCCACCCGAAATGCCAGGCTGCAGGAGATGGGCTTCTTTGCCTCGTGGTGGAGGGTGAAGGTCAGGTCCAGTAAGAGCCAAGCCAGCTGTCGGGGTGCAGTTTGTGTCGGCTCCACACTGCCTCTCGAGGGGTGGGGTGCTTTCAGTCAAGGCAGCAGTGCTGCAGTCCTGTTCTATCAGGCGTGCCTCTGTAGAGGTCAGCTTCTTCCTGCTTCATATTGTGATTGAAAAAGGAATTGCAGGTTAAAGAATGTTGCTGTTCGGGGCTGGAGTTGTAGCTCAGTGGTAGAGTGCCTGCCTAGTACATGTGAGGCCCTGGGTTTGGTTTTCAGCACTGCATATAAATAAGTAAATAAAGATCCATCAACAACTAAAAAGAATATTAAAAAAAAAAATAGAACGTCGCTCTTCAAGGTTGCACAGCTCATTAATAAAAAGGCAGGAAATTTCTTCTTGGTCTCAATTCTAAAGATAGTGGTTTGGTATGGTGTTCTTTCCAGGAGAATGTTTTAAATAGCAGGGCAGTTATGGCAATGTGCTACACTTGCACCCGTGGGGCCCACGCTACTGACCCCCGACATCCAGTGGGACGTGTACCTGAAGGTGTCTCCTCGCAGAGCAGATGGGTCTGCAGCGAGCTCTCCACTTGCCCTTTACTCACTCCCACCACGGCCGGGCCGTCAAGACACTGGCAGGCTTCTTGCTGCAGGACTAGGCTATTTGGATATGTGACCAGTTTGCACAGGGGTATTCAACCCAGAGTCACATCCCCAGTCCTTTTTTTATTTTTTATTTTATTGAGACAAGGTCTTGCTAAGTTGCTCAGGGACCTTGCTTAGTTGCTGAGGCTGGCTTTGAACTTGTGATCCTCTGCCTCAGCCTCCTGAGCTGCCAGGATTACAGGCGTGCACCACCACACCTGGCCATATATGCTTTTTTCCCTCCCTCCAGGTAGCTCATTATGAATATCACACCCCTCCAATCACCTCTGTAATTGGAGCTTCTCTGATAGATTAGCTGAGTGGGGTTAAGTAAAACATCTCGGTCCTTTCTGTGGTCATGGTACTAACAAGATTCATACGTGGGCAATAGGCGGTCACACCTCATGCAGCTGTCATCTCTGGTCTGATCTCAGAACCAAGGACTCTGGCCAGGTGCAGTCTGTCAGCCAGGTCCTGGGCTTTCTTTCTTTTTTTCTTGTTTTTTTGTTCAAGGTAATGGATTCGTTTCTTAAACAGATACAACAATGCAATGTAAATTTCCCTTTAATTTGTTCTAAGCACTAATGAATTGTGTGCACCCATTTCCTTTCCTTTCTGTCTTCCTGGAATTGTGAGCTGGGTGTTAAATGACTTAGAAGAGGTAAGAGCTGGAGTCCTGGTTAATGTAAAATTAGATGCATCCTCAGAGTGCCCCCAGGACTTGGTCATCACTGCTGATCACTGGACAGTGACTGGCATCATTTAGTGCCTTTCTCTGCTGTGGCATGCTAGCAAAAGAGCATTAGCAGTTTGTAGAGTGTAAACAGGAATATGGTCACTGAAACTCGTTTGTGTCTTCCCTCTGAAGGTGCGCTTACGGAGTGCTATGATGAACTGGGGAGCAGATACCAGCTTCCCGTGTATTGCTTGGCACCGCCAATCAACATGATAGAGGAAAAGAGCGACACAGAGACTCTGGACATTCCTGAGCCACCACCCAACTCTGGCTACGAGTCCCAGCTCCGACTTCGCCTCTCCACAGGCAAAGACCTCAAGCTTGTGGTGCGCAGCACAGACACGGTGTTCCACATGAAGAGACGCTTGCACGCAGCCGAAGGGGTGGAGCCGGGAAGCCAGCGGTGGTTCTTCTCAGGCAGACCTCTCACCGACAAAATGAAGTTGGAGGAGCTGAAGATCCCCAAGGACTACGTCGTGCAGGTGATCGTGAGCCAGCCCGTGCACAACCCCACGCCAGTCGAGAACTGAGCCGAGCCAGCTCCCCCTCTCCTGTTTGTTATTGTTGTCATTTTCAACTCTGTGGCGTGAAACCTATTTTCACTGCTCTGAATTCCCTATGAATGAATTTAGTTCTGAGGAATTACCAGTGAAAAATTCCATCTGTGATGGAGACCAACAAAAATAATAAAACACAAAGAGCCAGCCTTTGAGACTCATGTAACTACAATTTCTAATTTGAGAGGCAGTTAAGAAATAGATAACCATTTATTTTAAAACACTCAACTACTTAATGGCTGAATTTAAATGATTTAGACTGTAAGTGGAACATTGTAACCTTGAAGAACAGCACCAAGCACCTTTGAATACAGAATTTTTAAAACATCTGTCAGATTATATAATTTCCAGATGTCACCAATAACGGTTATAATTTTTTGATAGAATCTGAGAAGAGCAGTATTTGAGATTCATTTCTGTTCTGGTTTTTTGTTAGCTCATTTCATATTTAGCCATAAAGGAGTAAGACTGGCAAATTGTGTTTCAGTGTTGCTTTTCCCATCCCCACATGTTGAGCCCCTTATTGACAGTCACACTAAGTTTGGGTGCCTTGAGCATGTTTGATGGCCGGGACCCTTCTGAACACCAGGCAGTAAGTAGTTCGTGCAGTCCTGTTTCTGATTTCCACCTGATCCTTGGGTGCTGCGTAGGTGTTTTGGAATCCTGCACAGACAGCTGTTTTCATGTCTGGCTTAGAAGGTCACTACGTCGTGTACCTTCCGTACTCCCTGCTCTGTTTGCACTTGCATCGCCTACCCTGCCCCAGGCCCACAGTCCCCGGGCGGGAGGCAGGAGTCTATTACTCTTCCCACCACGAGGCAGTGCAGTGAGGCTCTCCCGGCTCTGCAGGGGTGCAGGGAAAGCCCAGTCCTCCTGTGCCTGGGAGAACTTGCAGAGAAACTTTCGACTGAGAATCCAGAGTGAAAGGTTTGCTGGTGTTGCTTTCACATTAGCAGTGACGTGGCAGCGCTTCAGACCTCAGTGCTCCCCAGTTCACTGTTACCCTCAGCCAAGCGGATAACAGTTCTTCTCTCATCTTTTCTTGCAAAGAGGCAAGTTAAGAACCATCTGCAGAATCATGTTTGGTGGCCAGGAACTGAGAAATCTGCGAAGGCCTGAGTCTTGGGTGCTGTGGCTGAGTAAAGCTGCCCAGGGCTGCGTTTAATTTGGAGACCCTTAAGACCTGGCTCTGAGAGAGAAGCGGACTCCCTCCCTTACCAGGCTGTGTCCTGGGGCCTCCGTGAGGAGGAAGGGGAGCAAGGAGCATGGGTGCCGTGCTGGGGGGAGGCACACCTCCACAGCTACTTGGGTGTGAGCACCTTGTTAGTTAAAGTGACAAAATGAAACTGCTAATTAGTCTAAATGCATTGTTTAAAAATGGTATTAAATCTCCTATAGCCTGATTAAGTATATCTATAACTGTAACTTTATCATGTTTCTGAGAGCTTTAACTACTTCCCTAATGTTATTCGATCACTTTAAAGATTGTGGCTACATCTGATTTGCTTGTTGATGATTGACTCTAAATTCAAGAGAAACAGCAGCATTAATTCCAGAGGAGAAGTTTTCCCTCAGAGGTGGGGCTAGGAGGGCATTTCAGTAGATCGCCCTCATCCAAAAGTTTTTGTTCATCGTTGCCACACTGAACAGCAGCATCTCTCATGTTCATCAACTGGAAAAAAAAAATGTTTAAACTGATTTTTCTTAAGGAAATTTGTTAATGTCATCAATAATCTATGGTTGGTAAAAGGTCCTGATTATTGAAGATTCTCTCTCTTTAAGAGTTATTTTATTTTAAAGGAACATATACTTTGAATAACAATTTTCTGGGCATGTTTAACCTAGGTAAGAAAACCATGGTGCTGTTTAATTGTTAATAGATTGATATAAGATTGGACCAATACTTGATGTGTATAATTTTAGTATGTAGGGTTTTTGTGCTTTTTTTTAAAAAAAAAAAAGTTAAATTTTTCTCTTTGTCTTTGCCTTTATTCTGGGGTTTTATCTGTTGCTCTCCTCATAAGGGTGATCCGCCTTGTTCAAATGAGTGTGTGAAGGTTTCCTCCTTCCTGAAGCCTCAGCCCAGTAAAGATCAAGGTCTTTGTCACCCCCTCAGGCTCACTGGGCCAACTCCTGCGCAGTGCTGCAGACACGCCTCGCTCTGCACTGACTTCTGGGTCTGAATCAGCTGGTTTTCTCTTCTCCTAAAATCATCCTGCAGATCAACTCACAGTTCAGGTTTTCGGAAGCACTAAGCTCATTTATTATCCATTTTTGGATCAAAGTAACAGGTTTGATTTTGTTCAGATTTTTAAATGGTTTTCAGAATAGGCAGCACGTGCCTGTGAAACCATCAGTCCAAACACACCAAGGCGAAAAGACTCTCCCTTCCCCCTCTGAGACTTCAGAGATCTCTGTGGGGTTGGGAAAGGAGTGAGGTGACAGTCCTGATTGGGCTTTTTCCATCTGTCTGTCCTGTTAATGGGGAGCTCTTGTTTTCTGGTAGTTTTTAAACACAATATGCTTCTTTTTTTAGTTGTAGGTGGACCCATACTTTTATTTTATTTATTTATGGGTTGCTGAGGCTCGAACCCAGTGCTCCAGGGATGCAAGGCGAGCGCTCTACCACTCAGCCCCAGCCCCGCAAGGTGCTTTTTACTGATGTTCCTACTGGACAGACTAGCAGCAGCTGTGCCGAGTTTCTTACTGGGGAGGAGAGGGAAGGAGAGCAGCTGGCGGCCCCTGTTCCAGTCTCCTCTTGTTTCTATTGGGGTCTCTAATGACGTGGCCCTTTCAGGCTGTCATCCCCCTGAAGGGATGAAGTGCAGGCTGCTCAGGTGGCAAGGGTCCCATCTTGGCAAATGTCAGCACAGTTGCTCTGGTTGCCGGTCTTCAAGGTCAGAGGTTAGAGTGGTGAGCAAACGGGAGACTGAGCGCTAGTGGAGGGTGGCATAGCTGCCTTAGCTCCCTTCAGAATTCCATACTTATGGCTGGTACAGATCACAGAGGAGCCTGTCCAGGGCCCTGGGCTGAAAAGGTAGCTGTGTCCACATCTATCAGGTCTGCTGTCCCTCTCCCTCCATGGATGGACCACACCCTGGAACATACATGTGACCAAGAAATTCCAACTCGACTGTGGAAACTCCATTTATTAACTTAATCTACACTCAGTTTATTAACTCAAACGATCTACATAGACTTTTTTTTTTTTTTGCAGTGCTAGGGATTGAAACTGGGTCCTTGCGCATGCCAAGGTACTCCCTCTACCCTGAGCTGCACTCCCAGGTCTATATGCACATCTGAAAAATGTTCTAAGTCACATAATATAAATGAGAAAAAAAGTACCTAAAGTTGGTATTGATAGGCTGTTTTCTTTGTACACCTAGTCACAAAGGAGTGTCACTTTACTGGTGCATTTAAATTTTCATTTTTATACCGAATTTCAGTTTGGACCCATTAGAGATAAATGCATTTTTCTGATACCATTCTATATCCATCCCATTTATGGAGATGCTTTTAAAAGGAAGATTTTGAAAATCTGAGCCAATTCACACTAGATTTTGTAGCCACCCTGATTTCCAGGTAAGAGGGGAAAGCTCGTCTTTAAGAATTATGCTTCCTATCTTTGACTCATTCTTGCCTCTCTCCCCCTTTTTTTCATTTCTTTTTTAAAGTGTATTTATTTGTTCTAATTTGTTACATATGACAGCAAAGTGCATTTCAATTCATAGTACACATATGGAGCACAATTCTTCATGTCTCTGGTTGTACACAAAGTAGAGTCACACCATTCATGTCTTCATACATGAACTTAGGATAATGACATCCATCTCATTTCACCATCTTTCCTATCCCCCTATCCCCCCTTCTCGTCCCTCCCCTTTGCCCTTTTTAAAGTTCCTCCATTCCTCCCATGTCCCCCCCGCCCCCTATTATGGATCAGCATCCTCATCGGAGAAAACATTTGGCATTTGTTTTTTGGGGATTGGCTTACTTCACTTAACACAATATTCTTCAACTCTGTCCATTTACCTGTAAATGCCATGATTTTATTTTCTTTTAATGCTGAGTAATATTCCAGTGTGTGTGTGTGTGTGTGTGTACACACACATACATACATACACACCACAGTTTCTTTATCCATTCATTTACTGGAGGGCATCTAGGTTGATTCCACAGTTTAGCTATTGTGAATTGTGCTGCTATAAACATTGATGTGGCTGTGTCCCTGTAGTATGCTGTTTTTAAGTCCTTTGGGTTTAGACCAGGGAGTGGGATAGCTGGGTCAAATGGTGGCTCCATTCCAAGTTTTCCAAGGAATCTTCATATTGCTTTCCATATTGGCTGCACCAATTTGCAGTCCCACCAGCAATGTATGAGTGTACCTTTTTCCCCACATCCTCTCCAACACTTATTGTTGTTTGTCTTCATAATAGCTGCCATTCTGACTGGAGTGAGATGAAATCTTAGAGTAGTTTTGATTTGCATTTCTCTAATTGCTAGAAAGGTTGAACATTTTTCATATATTTGTTAATTGATTGTATATCATCTTCTGGGAAGTGCCTATTCAGTTCCTTGGCCCATTTATTGATTGAGTTATTTGGTTTTTTGGTGTTAAGATTCTGGAGTTCTTTATATATCCTAGATATTAGTGCTCTATCTGATGTGCATATGGTAAAAATCTGCTCTTATTCTGTAGGTTCTCTCTTCACCTCACTGATGATTTCTTAGAAAAAGCATTCATGAAATTCATCTGGAAAAATAAGAGACCCAGAATAGCTAAAGCAATCCTTAGCAAGAAGAGTGAAGCAGGTGGCATCACTATACCAGACCTTCAACTATACTACAGAGCAATAGTAACAAGAACAGCATGGTATTGCCACCAAAATAGACTGGTAGACTAATGGTATAGAATAGAGGACACAGAGACCAACCTACATAGATACAGTTACACTAGACAAAGATACCAAAAATGTATATTGGAGAAAGGACAGCCTCTTCAACAAGTGGTGCTGGGAAAACTGGAAATCCAAATGCAACAAGATAAACCCCTATCTCTCACCATGCCCAAAACTCGACTCAAAGTGGGTCAAGGACCTAGGAATTAAACCAGAGACCCTGCGCCTAATAGAAGAGAAAGTAGCCCAAATCTTCATCACGTCAGATTAGGCCCTGACTTCCTTAATAAGATTCCTATAGCGCAAGAAATAAAATCAAGAATCAATAAATGGGATGGACTCAAGCTAAAAACCTCCCTGCCCCTTTCTGAAACAAAGGACTCAGTATTTTGGTGGCCTTAGTGGCCACGTCTGAAAAATCACAGCCCATGGATCTTTCTGCACCTCAGGACCGTCCCTGGAAGGTGGAAGAGAAACTCATACTTCAGTTTCTTCCCCCAAACCACACCTAGCTCCTGGGCTGTCTGGTGGCAAAAGCCATGGAGGCTGCCCCAGAAGGGGCGGAGCTAGAGGGCTATGCGTGCAGGGGCGAGGAGCTGGGGAGCGAGAAGTGGGGGGCGAGGGCTGGGGAGCGAGAAGCTGGGGAGCAGGGCGGGGTGCAGCTGTTGGCCTTGGGAGGTGATGAGGCACGGATGGACCTCGGGTCAGAGGAAGGAAGGCGCTGCTGTGAGGCAGTGCATCTTTTGGGTGTTAACAACTCCAGGAGAGAGATGCTGTTGTCTCTATGTGGGAAACAGATGTGACTGCAGCTGGTAGGTTTTTTTATGCTAGTTCCATCCAGTTTTTATGGTACCATTGCGGGAAAGAGAGAAGATCTTTTTTGCTGACAATGACATTGAGCGTGGTCACAGGTATGTTATCAAAACCCCCTTTCTAGGGCTGGGACTGGGGCTCAGTGGTGCCTCGCATGTGTGAAGCACGGGGTTCGATCCTCAGCACCACCTAAAATAAATAAAGGCATCATGACCATCTAGAACTAAAAAAAAAATTAATAAGAAAACCATGTCTAATAGAGGAAATATGGAGAGGATTCACAGAAATTAACAGTTCCTAGTACCAGTTTGATGGAGGAATGATGACAGTCTCCAGCGGGCAGTGTTCTTGCCAGTTAATCCTGACACCTTGTGATCCAACTTGACCTTCCATGATGGAACTGCTTGAACTGGCCTTCAGGTCAGCATTACTTAATGTGTCCATAAGAAATCCTTGGTTTATAGTAAACGACCTATATTTCTTCACTCCCAAAACTTGTTCCTCAGAGATTTGTGGTAAGAGTTGTAATTAACATTAAGCAGGTGAGATTTCTGACCCAATGAGTTGCTAGCTTTAAACTTAAACAGAATCTGCTAAAAGGAAGTGAGTTACTGAGATCCCTGCTGGTAAGACAGGCTGACTTAGTTGACCTTGAATTTGAGCCCTGGCTCTGCCAGCATGAGCCATGTGTTCTTGGGTAAGGGTCTTAATCTCTAGGCCTCAATTTCCTCATCTATAAATTGATGGTAGTGACACCTGATTGACAGGGTTTAAAGGCTAAACAAAGCCAGCATGGTGGCCTGGCCAGTAATCCCAGCTATCTGGAAGGATGAGGCAAGAGGATCTCAAGTTCAAGGGCAGTGTGGGCAATTTAGCAAGCTCCTGTCTCAGAATTTTAAAAGTGCTGGGGATGTAGCTCAGTGATAGAGCACCCTAGGGGGTTCAATCCCCAGTACCGGAAAAAAAATTACATAGGTCATGTAAGTCACTGCTCACCCCATAGCAAGCATATTATAGACAGCTGCCATTACTAAAGTCATGATCCAGTCAGCCAGGGAGGTGTCACAAGCCTAATGCCAAAAATACTTTCAAATTACTCAAAGCGTTAATTACACAAGAATTAAAAGTATACAGGGCACGCCATGATTACTCTAGTCAACAACTAACTCATCAGAGAGTAGTTCAGGTTCTGAGAACACAGCTGGCCGGAGGATCCCTGGAGTCCAGGAGTTGGAGACCAGCCTGCATAACATACTGAGACCCTGTCTCAGAAAGAAAGAAAAGAACAAGACAGCCTCCATGTCCTTAGAGCCAACTCTTGACACGGAGGCACGTCACCCCTGGCCAGTGTGCAGCCTGGCATCCAGGGGTCTAGGCCTAAGGAAGGAGAGAGTAGAGGTGTGAGGGTTGGACCTGGCAGCAGAGATCAGGGGAGCTTCGCCCTGCAGCCGCCTGGCTCCAGGAAGTGTTGGTCACCCTGGACACATACACGGGGCCCTAGTGAGCAGAGCTGACCTCAAGAGCAGCCCTGTCAGCAGAAGGACAGTAACTTGAGGTTGGGCTGCCGCTAGTTGGGGTGCACGGCCCCGGCTCTGTCCTGGCACCCCAGAACTGCCAATCCTGCCAACTGAGCAGAGTTCACCTGGACCCTCCGTGTATGGAAGTGGACAGCAAGGCCTGTGTGAATGCTCATATTTATTCTTAGACATGTGACAACTGTCGTTTTAATGATATTCTCTACTTCTGGATCTCATTTTTTCCAAGAGACTCTTATGGCTCATGCCAACTTGTTGGAACACTTTCTTCATTAGCGTGGATTTCAATTTCAAGTTCTTTTTCTCCTTCCCTTTATTCTGGGATTTGTCCGTGGAGAAGATTGTATATAGCTTAAATTCCTTGTAATTAAGACGCTTCAGTTGGGAGAAAAAAAAAGAAATTATTTCAGGAAGGTTGGCTACTTTCTAGCATGACAATAGGCTTATTATCGTATTTAGAAATTTGGAAACTCAGGAGCAATGATTAGGACATGGTTGTAGTGTGATAATAGTGCCCAGGAAGAGCGCCTCTGTGGACTCTTAGGGGGACAAGGGTCAAGGGCAGATGCTTGGGCGGCCCCCAGGGCTCTTCCCAGCATGATCCAGCCTTTTCCACCTCAGCTTCCCTGTGTGCCCAGCAGGGACCCCCCTCAACCTCATCGACTCCACCATGGCCTGCTTAGGACTTCGCTCTTTGGACCCCATCCTAGAATTCCCCCTTTCTGCTAGTTCAGATCTATAAGCCTTTCCCAGCCAGTGCCACCCTGTGACACGCTTACTCTCACATTGCAGGGGGGCTTCCAGGTCCACCACGTGGCACGAGCCCATCCCTGCCTCCAGGAGCTGTGCCCCTACCCACCATTTTCGGATCCCGGCCCAGGCCTTGGGCTGCAGTCTCCCCTGCCCTGCCCGGCCAGGTGCGTGGAGGGCTGGGGTCCAGACGCAGCCCAGCACAGGGCGCTGCCCTCACGTGGTCGCCCGTGATGTCGAAGTCGTGGAAGAGTTCTTTGAGCTCCTGTTTCTCGATGTTGAAGAGGAATCTGTACATGCAGAAGTTGTCGGGGCTGATCTTCAGGTCCCCATCCAGATCTAGCAGGTCAAACACAGGCCGCGAATGGCGGTACATGAACTGTTCTTCCAGATGGTTCTGTTTTGAGAGAAATATGTAAGACGGGGACGAGTTGGCCTGCCTTCCACTCCTGGCAGCCCCGGGCTTGTTCAGTCGGCACCTTCCCTGGAGGGCTGCAGGCGAGGGGCTGCGCCCCGCAGGGGACATCAGCTGGCCATCCTGCAGCTACAGCAGCCCACTGCCTCACCCAGGAGACCGCAGGGAACACGGTGGCACTGGGGTGGGGCTGACCACACGAGGTCCCTTTCAAGGAGTGGAAAGGTGCAAGTCCACAGAACTGGACGTGGAGCAGATGGACCTCCCAGGAAGCCCCTTGCTTCATTGGTCCTGCAGAAAACTCTGGGCAGAAGGCTGGCGGGGCACTGGAGGTCACTGATGGAGAGCCCTCAAGGAGGGCAGACGGGTGGGGCCGAGGTTGGGGGAGGTGGGTTGTGGGAGGGCTCAGGTGGGCAGGGCCGCCTGTGGCATGGCACAGACCTGCAGGTTCTGGACAGACCATCCAGGAGCTAAAGTCACACCCCCTCCTTTTCCCTTCCTCTAGTTTGTAGTGAAAGGAGGGAAAACTATAAAGCGCTACCTGTGGCCCGGGGGAGGCAGCTGCCAGGTGGAGGCAGTGGCCAGCTCAGCCTCCCCGGGCCGGCCTCGCTCGCTACTTGCCTGGTGTGACAGCAGAATGCAAACCAACATGTAGAACTGCTCAAAGCCAATCTCGCCCATGGCGTTCCAGTCCAGCATGTCGAACACCATCTTGATCTGTCTCGATTTCAAGTTGGTGATGTGGCAGAGGAAGTGGAAGAAGAGCACATCTGTGAAGGGTGGTCAAGAGAGGGTCGGTCCAGAGCAGCTGCAAACACCAGCAGCTAGGAGCCTCCTGGACGGCAGGGATGCCTGATGCCCGCTGGATGGCCAGGAGAATGATGGGATGTTGGTTCTGGCTTCCCCAGTTCCTCCCACAGCCCCTCAGGCCCACGCTCTTTTGAGCTGTGTGGACAAGCATTGGGCCCGGAGGCGTGGAGAAGGAGACTGTGGTCAGGGCTGACCCCAGCCACGTGCTCCGAGCTGCAGAAGTCCCTGTCCCTGGCACGGAGGCAGGGTCACACACACACACAGGCACAGTGTGCTCCTACCTGGGAGGGACAGTTTAATTCTCTCTGGGAGATGCTAATATTTTACCTGGGCCTTTATTTTGAGATAATTAAAATCAGAGGAACTTAAAAAATTCCTCTTCTAGAAAAGTATCGATGACCCTCAAGGATATATAAGCAGACGTGTTTGGCTGGGACGAGAAGGGAGCAGACCTTGTGGCCATCTGACATGCAGGGCATTTAAAACACCACACCTCGGTGACCTCCTGCAGCCTTACAGGGAAGCAGGCACCACCCCCTCAACGGGCGATCCAGCCACTTGGGGGCTTATCACCACAGATTCTGACTCAGGAAACACGGGCAAGACTGGGTCCACATTTCTGCACTCCCAGGGGATGTGACTGGTGGCAGCTGAGTGGCAGAGTTGGGCTTCCCATGGGGTGGACGGGACTCTCCAGCCTTGCCCCTTCACAGTGGAGCTGGATCTTCTGGGCATTAATTAAAGCACATTCTGTCAGACAGTCAGGATAAATCACTGTGGTGTAGACACGAGAGGAGGCCCCACATGCCGTGCCGCCCCTGGGCCCCGGGTCCTGGGGAGCACAGGATGGGTTAACAGTGGGCCATTCACGTATGCAGTGTGTGTGGCTGTCCACAGTCACCATGAGGAATTTTCACGTGAACCTGTCAACGTGTAATCCCCCCCTTGCCTGTTGGTTACAGAAACCACATCCTGAGCCAGGTGCGGTGACACACACCTGTGATCCCAGCGGCTCGGGAGGCTGAGACAGGAGGATCACAAGTTGAAAGCCAGCCTCAGCAAAAACCGAGATGCTCAGCAACTCAGTGAGCCCCTGTCTCTAAATAAATACAAAATAGGGCTGAGGACGTGGCTCAGTGGCCGAGTGCCCTGAGTTCAATCCCCAGTAGCCCCCCACCCCCCAAAAAAAAAGAAACCACCTCCTGGTTCCATGAGTATGTGAGCCCTCCCTTGTCATCTAGAGTCCCACTGAAGCTAAGAGCACAGAGAACCCACCATCACAACGTCAGGATCTGGGGGTCTCTATGGCCTCCTGGTCTCCTTTCCGTGCCCCACCAGGTCTGAACAGCAGGGAGCCGCCCAAGGTGATGTTGGGTGCTTGTTCCCTGGGAAAGGTTTCCTACAGGACCTAATAGCTACTTAATAAATGCAGTTTTGAAACCAGCTGACTCTGGCCACTGGGCTCCGAGGACTCAGGTCAACCCTGGTGAGCTTTAGGGTCACGACTTCAGCCTTTCAAGCCAAAGTGTTCGTGGCTTGACCTTAGGTGTGTATCTTCCAGGCATGATTGGTTACTATGGAGACCAGATCACCCAGCAAACGGTCCAGAGACCCAGGTGGGCTGTGGAGTCAGAAAGCCCTGGGTCTCTGCCTCGGGCCTCGTGCACAGCCAGGGAGCCCACAGCTGCCTTCTCTGCAGACTTGGCAACATACGAACCTCAACTGCTATGTCAGGGGGAGCCCGAGGATGACTGGTGGCAGCTGAGTGGCAGAGCTGGGCGCTAAGCTGTGAGGAGAAGCTGTTCTCTCTTGATTTTGTTATTTCCGCCATGCTGTATTCAGCCTGGGGCCTGGGGCCTTGTGCTAGCTAGGCACCTGCTTCTCCATCGAGTCCCAAGCCCCTTTATCATTTGCTTTTTTAAAATTAAATGAATTCTTGGAAATCTCAACTGGGGGACACCCTTCTTACGAATGATGTCAGTCTCTTGAGTTTGGGGTGCACGCGAGGATGGGATAACTGATTTTTTACTCAATGCTAAAAAGACCCTGAGGTGTTTTAATTGGTCTCTCTTAGTTTGTGGGCTCGATGGCAGGACTGGGACCGTCAGTGTTCTCTGGTCACTCACAAGCAGCACCAGAAGGGTCACCCGACCATGTGACACCAGTTCCCACTGGACAGGCTAGAAGGAGAGTCTTGCTGACAGGGGCCTCAGCCTCCAATAATACTCACAATAACCACGACCCTTCCTTAAGTCACCAGCTGCACCAGACACTGTGCTAAGCATGGTCCCCTCTGAGGTGGACTCCTTGGTGAGTGCGCACACGCTGGGGACCCAACCCAGGACTCCTGTGCCCTGCCACTGAGTATGCCCCAGCCTGGGGTCCCCTGTACTTCTAGGTAGCAGCCTTGAAGCAGATGCTTCCAACTACCACGGCATGTTGGGTGGATCACCCGTTAGTAGTGGGTGGACTTGTCCCCGGCTTGCTCCCCCCTGTCCCCACAAACGGCCACCCGTCTCAGCTCTCGGTTGGCCATTCCTGTCTGTGTGTCCTCTGGAAGAGGTCAAGTGCTCGCTCAGCGGTTCCTGGCTCTGAGTTTGCCTGGGCATCAGCCACCAGCCAGGGGGGGAGCCTGCGGGCGGCACTGACCATTCAAGGTGTTTCTGCGGTGCACGTCCAGCAGGTAGAAGTACTCCACCAGCGCCTTCACGTTCCGCAGGGACAGCAGGCAGTATATCTTGTCCAGGTAGAGGTACCACAGGAAGGACCCTTGTTTCAGTTTCATCTCGGCCCCTTGCAGCCAGCTGCTCTGGCAGCCTGAAGCAGAATGGAGGGTTCCGCCTCGGAACTGGAACACTGGGCAGGGCCTCTGAGCAGGTCTGGCCACAGCAGGGGACACGCCTGGGGACGAGGGTAAACTGCCTCCTTCCACCTCTGGCTCTGCTCTAGGTATCATTGTCCCCACTCTCTTGTTACCACGATGACCTGTCTGTCATTAAAACAACCTCCCAAGAGGGAATCGGGCTGCTTAGCAGAGCACAGCCGATGTGCCACCTCGGAAAGGTGTGCTGTGCCACCGCGCTGGCCCTCCTGCCCGGACGGCATAGAAAACCACACCAAGTACCAGGGGGACCCAGGACGCTGTCAGTCACATAAGGCCCAGGGAAGGACTTGTATCCAGAGTGCAGGTCAGAGGAGCATGAGAGGCAGGAAGCCACCAGAAAAAGGGAGACGGCGGGCAGGGCTTCAGCAGGAGGTCCTGCCAGAGAGGGAACAGGAAGGCCACCCGGCTAGCCTCGGGCCTTCTGTTTCTCCACTGGTGATGAGGGACGCAAGGCCTCACGGGGGCTAAGCATGCGCACCGCCACTGAGCCACCCCGTCCCCCCCCCACACCTCATCCCTGTCCCCAGCTTTCATTTTTTATAATGGACACACCAGGCATATCCAGTGGTGTGGGCAGCGCCCACCTGACCATCAGAGCCAGGACAGTCTCGCTCTGCCACCACCGATGGGCTATTTTGAAGCAAAACCCAGACAGAAGAGCTCATCTGTAAATATCTGAATATGTATTTGAAAAAGAGGGACTTCTTCATCTTTCAACATAACTGGTGGCCACTATCAGAACACAAAATGAACAGAAGCAGGGCTCGGGCTGGGGCTCGGGCTCGGCTCAGCGGTAGCGCCCTTACCTGGCCTGTGCGAGACACTGGGTTCCATTCTCAGCTCCAAATATAAATAAATGAATAAAATAAAGGTCCATCAACATCTAGAAAATACATATTTTTAAAAAAATGAACACGAAACATTCCTAAATGGCATCAGATATCCAGGGGACATTCAAATGGTCTTAATTGTTGATTCCAAGTTTTAATAGGTGATTATTTAAGTCAGGAACCTAAACAGATCTATGTGTCAGTTACAACGCTCCTTCTGTTCTCGTTTTTCTTGTTCTTTTTTTTACTTTTCTCCTCTTTCATCTTTCTCTTACAGTTTATTTCTTGAAGAGTCCAGATTGTCATGTAGATGAGAACATTCTGGTTTTACACATTTATCCCCAGAGCATTAACATATCCTTCTGTATCCTGCATTTTATATGAAACTAGTAGTTAGATCTAGAATAAAAGCTCTTTCAGAAAAAGACCAATAAAAGAGACAAACTTTTACAAGTGTGATAAGAAAGGGCAAAGAAGATTTTAAAAATTAAGAATGAAAAGAAACAACTAATGATAAAAAATATTAAAATACATATAAGAATATTATGTACAACTTTTTACTATGAAACTTCATCCAATAAGTGTATAATATAAGCCACAAGTTTGAGTCATGTGTAATTGATTTTTTTTTTTCTAGCAGGTGTGGTGGTATATGCCTATAATCCCAGCTACTTGGGAGGCTGAAGCAGGAGGATTGTCAAGTTCAAGTCCAGCCTAGGTAATTTATCAAGACTCTGTTTCAAAATTAAATAAAAAGGGGCTGGAAATGTAGCTCAGTGGTAGAGCACTTGCCTAGCATGCACGAAGCCCTGGGTTCAATCCCCAGGACAGCAAATAAACAAAATAGCAAGGGCTAGGGATGGAGGTAGCTCAGTGGTATGGTCCAGCACTTGTCCAGCTTGAGTGCTATTGCCAGTACTGCAAAAAAGGTGGAAAAACAACAATTTTCCCCCTATCTTCCACATTTAAAACAAGTGAAAATACTTTTAATAATATTTTATTTAACCCAGTGTGTCCAATATGTTTCAAGTTGTAATCAATGTTTTTTAGAAATTAAAATCCTGTGTCTGTTTTGCACTTCTTTAATCCTCAGTGCAGATGAGTTACACTCCAAGTGCTCACTGGCCACAGAGGGCTGGTGCTTCCACACTGGACAGCAGGAGCGAGATACAGGAGTCACTCTGCCAGGACTGGCTCGTGATGGAGTTCAACCTAACCCACCACTGACGGTAACCAGGTACCAAACGGATAGGCTCAAAGAGGTGCTGAGCAAAGACCTGGCTCAGACGGTTTTATCCAATCATCAAAGAACAAATAATCTAAACTGTTTCAAAGCAGGTCTGATGTCATCAACACGGTGGAGCAGGCTGTGGGGACAAGCTTCCTCCCCAATAACTGACGGCTCTAAGAGTGAAATCACGGCAGCACTGAAGGAGTCCGTGGATCACGGTTTCCCAGAGCGGTGGTGCAGAAGGGAAGCCTGTGCACACCCAGTAGGTCTACGCCCTCTCTGTAAGGGCCCAGTGAGACCCCAGAAATAATTTCTCAAGGAAACTAAACCCATAAGGAACAAGCACACTGTGATCAAGAAGCGGCAGAAGCCAGAGATGGTGGAGCCTTCAGAGATGAGGTCACCACCACAGCCATGGGACAGTTATGTTTCTGCTACAGTAAAAAACACTCCATTTATTCATTTTGTGCTGGGGACGGAGCCAGAGCCTTGTGCACAGCAGCCAAGGCTCCACCTCTGAGCCTGGCCCAGCCCAGGATCACTTGGTAGGGTTTCCACGCCCCGCAGTCACTGGAAATGTGGCTTAGGCTGGGGTCAGCTCCAGGCAGATGGTGGCAGAACTGAACTGGGTTGCAGGACCCCCCGGCTGGGGTCTGCAGAGAACCGAGAATGTTTGGTGTTGGAGAGGGAAGCAGGAGAGTGTGAGTGAGAGTCCTGGTGGAGAGTGTCAGTCAATTTGTCATCTCCCCGACCCAAAGAACTGGCAAGAGCGATTTTGAAGAGGAAAAGTTTATTTGGAGATCAGGGTTTCAGAAGCGGCACACCCACCTGACATGGTCACCACGAGGCTGATCCCCACCAGGGATTAATCCACTCTCCCCGTCTGACCATTGCACCTCCGAGCCTTCTTGCAATGTCACACCTGAGCTTTTGGGGGACATCATACCTAAATCACAACAAGCGCTTCCCCATGCAACTACACGCTCACTAGAATCGCCAAAACTAAAAGGACTAGTGCTGTCCGAGCCCCAGGAGCCCCCCGCCTCTCCTTTGGAGATAGAAACAGCACGATTCCGACAGAGCAGGAGTTCACTACTTTGCAAATTAGCTGGATAATTTCTTACAAAATTAACCATACACTTAACATGGGACCCGGCAACGGTACTCCTAGGCACACCCATGGAAATACCCACCTGTAGGGAAATATCCATCACTGGGTTCATGGTGAGACCCTACGACAAAAGGTTACTTGGTGTACACTTCATGGGATATGGGAGTCTTCCTAAGCCAACGAAGACGGGAAGAAATAGGTAAACGTGTGTGGTTTTAGGCTTAGGTTTGGAGAGTGGACAGCCCTAGAGACACGTGACTGCAGGCCTACAGGGGCGTGAAGGCCAGGCCATGCCTGGGGCAGCTCAGCAAGGAAAGTCTCTTCCATCCTTACTGCCGTATGCGTGTTTAGCTCTCCTATCCTTTGGGTCTGGAAAGGGCACCCAAAGATTCTGTGACCTGCTTCTGGGGAGAAAGGGCCAGATGAGGGTGACCTTCCTGCCTCTGCTGTTTTCCAAACACCAACGTGCCATATTTCAGAGCAGCGTGTCCTATAGCCTGACATATCCATGCAGACTCACATGCAAATGTTCACAGCCACTTATTCAAAATAAACAAGGAATGAAACAACTCAACAGCTGAGTGGATTCACATTATGGTATATCCACAAAAGGGAATACTACCTAGCAATGAAAAGGACTGGACCACCTATACACTGAATACCATGCTGACTCTCAAAAGCATTATGCTGAGGCCTGGGATGTGGCTCAGTGATAGAGCCTTGCCTTGCATGTGGGAGGCCCTGGTTGATCCCTAGCATTGCACCCACACACAAAAAAGCTAGACACCAAAGAGCATATACTTGGTGTCCCTGTAGACTTGTCAAAACTCAATGAACGCTATGCTTTATTTATTTATTTATTTAGTGGAGCTGGGGATTAAACCCAGGGCCTTGTTCATGCAGGGCAAGTACTCCACCAACCGAGCTATAGCCTCAGCCTGAACACTATGCTTTAAATAGGTGCATTTTATTAAACGTAAATTAAGCTGCAGTGAGGTTGATTTTTAAAAATTAAAAAAATAATAATTTTAAATTAAAGCTAGGAAGTAGTTCCAGAAAAACATATGGGAGAAAAATAGATTGGATAACATCAATATAGTTTATCTTTGTTCACCAGTAGACATTATGGCTAAAGGTAATAGATGAGAGGTTGGGAGAAGACTTTGCAATGTCTAAACCCAAAAAGAGCATCTAAAAACAATTCCTTCAATCAAAAAGTAAGACAGGAAATCTAATATGCTCTGAACAAGCAAGTCAAGCTGAAATTTAAACATCTAACAAAATTATGAAGAAATAGCGATTGAAATCAAATTCCTGGGCTGGGGACATAGCTCAGTTGGTAGAGTGCTCACCTCAAATGTACAAGGTCCTGGGTTCAATCCCCAGCACACACACACAAAAAATAATCAAATTCCTAGCATGTGTAATTTTGCCAAAACGAACCTAAATGTTATACATAATTATAATACTCTAATAAAACACTAGAAGACACTCATTAGTAATTAAAGATATGCAAATGACAACAATATTTATCAAATAATTCCTAGCTTCAGTTGTTGCAGAAAACAGAGGAAAAGAACACACACACACACACACACACACACAATGTCCAGCTCTCTCCTTCACTCATCCTGGGTTCAAGGCGAGGTCCTCTAACAAAAGACAGATTAGCAAGGCAAAGGCACCCAGGTTACTTAACAGAAGTTATTAGTTGTTTCAAAGCAGTCGTTCTGATTCTGTTGAACCTCTTTTCCCTTAAATTTTGAGGTACAATTTGCATATCATAAAATCCAGTCATTTACAAAAAAAAAAAAAAAAAGGAAGATAATTGGGGCAGACTTACCAAGTTGAGAAATTGTCACCATAATCCAGTTTTAGAAGAACATTTGATCACCCCAAGATCCCTCTCCTCCACTTACAAGTTACTCCTGTTTCATACCCAGTCCCTGGCAAGCACCCATCTCCTGTCTGTCTGAACTTGGCCTTCTCTACACATTTCATATTAATGCAGTCACAGAATGCAGTCTTTGGGGTATCTTCCTTCACCTAGCATATTTTTGGATGAATCCCGGTGGCACCCCCACCCCCACCCCAGCTATCGGGCTGATGGGAGCTCTCTGAGCCTCAGCCTCCCCAGACCCCATCTCCCAGTGGGGGAATGGCCCTCTGCCCGCACTACACCTGGTCGTATGGTCTGAAACCCAAGGTTGACCTTTGGGCTGGTTCCTGTTCCACTCAGTGGAAACAGTCTTGGGTGGCATTTCCTCCTTTTAGTGATAAGACTCTTGAAAGTTCTGAGCACGACGTGGTGGTGGGAACATTCTGAACTGCTTGGCAGCATTTAGCCAGGGCACCCTTTGCATAAGCATTAGCGGCACCGCCGCGTCTTTAGTTGACGTTCCAAATGGAACGTTCCAAATTTGCTGCTCCTACGTTGCACAAAGGATATTTTCCAAGTACCAAGAAGGGGGAAAGCACCTCCACCTCCACGAGGACGCTTCCCGGAGGTGGGGGCTGCTGGATGTGACATTCGCAGACTCAGACCTGTTCACGAGGGAAGGATATCATGATAAACCGCGCCCCCGGGAACCCAGTTAGTAGATATAGGTGAAAGCATTTGATTTTAGGTGACAAGGTCACAAGCAGGTAGCAGCCGCCGCGGTGGGCGGAGTCCAACCGCCAGGATCAAGGACGACGGTGGTCTAAGAGGTCCTTGGTTTCATCTGCAATGCGCTCATCTTTTATTTAAATTGGGAAACAAGTAAGAAAGTTTTTATTTATCAAAAAGTAAGACAGGAAATCATGAAACATGAGATAATAAATCCAATGGAGCTCCCAGTCCTCGAACCTGGCAGGTTTGTGGGGCGCGGGAGTTGGGGGGAACCCCGGGAAGCTGGACCCAGCGGAGAACCACCCGGCCTCCCGGACGTGACAGCGGCTGCAAGGGCGCAGCGTTTGCGCACTAGGAGGCAGCACCGCGCTGAGAAACCCGCGGCAGACTGGCAGCCACGGTGCGTGCCCTGGGGTGTTTCCTCGCCCACCGGGCGTCCCTACCTGCAAAGTGGGGACGATCAGGACAGCCTGGCAGGGCGAAGCGAATTCCATGAACTTATGTGGTCACCTTCTTGGCACTGGCAACGATCAGTGGACGCTCGAAAACTTTCAACTCGATGGCCGTCCCTCGTGCTCCCATAAAATTCTGGGGAGCTACGCGGTGCAGCTGGCCCCTCGGATCCGGGACCGACTCGCTTAGTGGTTCCCCAAGCTCTCCAAAGTCCAGCCGGTGGCTCCCCGCGGGCGGTGCGCGGGGACTACAGTTTCCAGAGTGCCCTGCGGCGACGGGCGGAGCCGGGGAGCGCCCGCAGCCAATTAGGGGGTCTCGGGGCGCTGCCGGGGAGCAGCAGGTGGAGCCGGCAGGGAGGGCGGGCGTGGGGCCGGGTCCCCGAAAGCGTCAGGGAGCTCGCGATCTGGGCTGCGCGTGGGGCGCGGCGCAGCGGGGCGGGCGCTCGGGAGGCGGCCAGGGGACTGGACAGAGTGGGGCGGGGACGCGGCCGCCTGCGCGGTTCCGGGTGCTCCCGCCGCGACGTTGCCCAGGGCGCACTTGACCCGGCAGGCTGCGGGGAAGGGCGGGTCTGGGAGATCCCCAGCGCCGCTGCGTCCTGCGATCCCTCCTCCTCGCGGCGCCGGAGCCACAGCCAGAGCCCGAGCCCGCGCCCGCGCCACCTCGCCCCCGGCCCGCGCGCCCCGGCCATGGCTTTCGCCAATTTCCGCCGCATCCTGCGCCTGTCTACCTTCGAGAAGAGAAAATCCCGCGAATATGAGCACGTCCGCCGGGACCTGGACCCCAACGAGGTGTGGGAGATCGTGGGCGAGCTGGGCGACGGCGCCTTCGGCAAGGTTTACAAGGTGAGGGTGCTGGAGGAGGGGGCCCGGCTCGTGGCGCGGCTCCGGAAGGCAGGAGCGCTGACTTCTGCTAGCCCCGCCACGGCTCCGGAGGGCGCAGAGGACTGCCCAGCCCTCAGCTCCGGGAGCCCGACCCCTGTCCGGGTGACCCTGGCGTTTGTGAGAGAACCTCGTTCTCACTGCTAGTCCTTGCTCGCTGGGCGCCCCCTCTGGGCACTGTTGTCGCCCCCGCCCCAGCTCAGTTTTTGAGCACTTCCTGTGCGTTGGGCGTCCGGCACTGTGCTCGGCGCTGCTGGGGGAGACAAAGGGACGGTTATGGGATCTCAGCATCCGTGAGGGCCACCCGAGGCACTCTCCAAACACTGTGATGCGAGGCATACTTGTTAAGCGATGTCACACAGAATGCTTAGGCACTGGGGACACACTCGGCTGTGCCTGGGACGGTTGAGTTGGGGACACCTAAAGATGGGCCAGAGACAGGGAGGGCAAATTGTGGCCCCTAGTATGGAAGATGAGACTGGAAAGGTGGGCTGGGGCAGGGCAGAGGGGGAGGTCTGGGTCCTGTGCCTGCTTAGCTGCGGGGAACAGATTTTATTTTGTACATCTGAGTCACAGTTGGGGAGGCTTCCAGACTGCAGTTACCTCTCGCCTGGAGGAAGACCAGGGCAGGGCTCTTTTGTGGAGGGGTGGGTGGGGCAGAGCTGATTAAATCTCATGGAGTTGGCAAGCAGAACTTGTCTGGGTTCTGCATTGTGAGCCAATGCTGAGTGCTCCATTTCTTTTGGGGACCCAGACACTTCTGCTTGACTCTGCCCTTCCCCTAATCTCCTTTCACCTGGGGGATATATATATATATATTTCCCTCCCTCCCTCCTGGGCCAGGCGTGTCTGCAGCTGCTGGGCTCAGGCTCCTCCTGCTGCACCCTCCCAAGTGTCAAGGACTACAGATGCACACCACCCCAACCCATCATCCTCTAGGGAAACTTGGATTGGGAGACTCCCACTTGTTGAGCTGGTGTGTATCTCCAGGAGGGCCAGTCCTTCCCAAGCCAGCTGTCACTCTCCTTGGAGGCCAAGCTACACAAGTAGCTGAGCCACAGAGAGGGTTTCTCTAGGACCCCCAGGACGTAGCTCTCTGTAACTTGAAATTGGCCTGGAACCTCATTACCTAAGCGTGGTCCCTGGAAGACCTGCATTAGCGTCACTGGGGAGCTCTTCAGAAATGCAGAAGATTCCTGATGATCCCTAAGCAAATCGATGTCAGAGAGGCACTGCTCCAGAGACTTGGAGTGCTGGAGGGTTTGAGGCCAACCAGGGCCCACGTGGGTGCTTCTTTTGTAACCACCTCCCTTCTGAGCCTGCACTTCCTGTTACAGGGCTGGGAAACCCCCACTGGAGCAAAGGTCCTGAGTTGGAGAGGCAGGCCCCAGTGTGACAGGGTGACTTTTAGACTGCCCTCATCCGCTGCCCCTCTCTGCCTGCCAGCACTCAGGGCACTCTTTATTCTTCAGCGGCATCCCCTCGGCCCTGCCGGTCTCCCTGAGGCCATGCCCGTGTCCTTGGTTGTCTTGGGCTCAGCCTGCTCCTGCAGATGCGTGCTGGACACTGTGAGGGCGCTTGGACCCTGGTGAGCTCCTAGGCATCAGCCTCCTGCAGAAGGTGCAGCTGGTGGTTCGGGCGCGTACTCCTGGCTCTCCAGGACTGTTTTTCTCTTAGCTTCCTGTTCACTGCCCTCCCGCTCCCCTGCCCCCTGTGCCCTGATGTGGTTCATTTTCATCTGAACCTAAATGCAGAACTTTGCTTTCATGCTGGCAAACCTGCCCCCTGTTTTCCGGATGTCATTTCCGCCTGCTGTAGCCGGCTCAAACTTCCCAGTGACTCCAGCAACTTCATACAGGGGACCCTGTCTGACCCACAAGTTTTTTGTCCCCTCCTGGGTCCCTGTAACACAGAGATCGTTTTTTAAAATGACTGCATTTCCCAAAGCTGCGAGCTGGTGGTACCAAAGCTCCTTCCCCACCTCTGTACCCACTATCTTCTCATAATTCAGACTAGGGCAACCAGATGGCGAGGGCCCTGTGCTGATGGTACACCTGGCTAGTCTGTCTCATCACGAGCCGCAGAGCAAGGTCTTGGCCAACGTGGAACCGCAGTCACACAGGCAGAGCTGAAAAATTCCTATGGCCTAGTGAAGTCATAGGGCCTAATTCCTTGCATGTTTGTGGTGATGCTGGTGACGCAAACCTGCGCTGCTACCGGCATCAAGGTAAGGTGTGCTGTAAGGCGTGCTGTGATGTACCGTGAATAGGACTTGATAATAAAGGGCTGTTGCTGGCTTATGCACTCACTATGGATAGTTTTTATCGTCATTTTAGAGTGCCTTCCTCCTGATAAGCAAAGTTGACTGTAAGAGTGTGACCTGATAAGCTGGCCTAAGCCTGCAGCATCTCTCTCTCTCTCTCTCTCTTTTTTTTTTTTTTTGGTGCCACTGGGAATCAAACCAGGGCCTTGTGCATGCAGGACAAGGGTTCTACCACTGAGCCTCCACCCAGTGTCTCCTGATTTCAAAACTTCCTCTTGTGCTTGACTTAATCTTGGGTTGTGCTGTTCACCGTGACCCTGGGAGCAATAGGCTGTGATCTCTGTATCCTGTGGCCGAGGACTATAGTGGGCCATGCTGCGTAGGTTTGTGTGAGCGCACTGCATAACGCTCTTTCAGTGACGAATTCACCTGACCCTGCACTTCTTGGAACATGTCCCCGTCCTCTTGTGATGCACAGCTGTATGATCAACGTGGCTTTGTTACAGAGCTGGGGCCTGCTGGGAAGCGGAGGCAGCCAAAGACCCCTCTTCAAACCCAATTCTTGTGATCAAGTCAGAAAGATTTCAGCCATGTCGCTCAGAGGAACAGGAATGGGTTTATTGAAGGGATAGGAAAAAGGTAAGGGGACACTCCCAAAGGAGAGAGTGGGTCCTCTCAGAGAGGAGAGGGACAATGTCCCTCTTCTGCGCTCCAGTTTTATTAGGGATCCCAGAGAAGTTTCCAGAGAGTCCTGCCCAGGTCCACCTCTTGAGTTCTGACTGATGGCAGGGTGACATCAGAATTTTAAGTCCGCACCGTTATGGCCACTCTAGGTCACCTGGGCCCATGCTGATCAGTTTTAATTGGATTCTTAACCATGCATTTTTACAGATTATGGTTAGGAGGAAGTTAGGAGGAACTGTCCTTATGTCCCTGAGTTTTAGGATCTGGTCACCAAGTCTCCTGGGCTCCTCCCATCGACATTGTCCTGGGCCTGCATTTCTCCTGAGGTTAACAGGTAGTTTGCTGAGGAATGTGGCATATCCTGTCCACATAGGCCAGGCAGGGCTGCAGGTAAATTGCTTCTTGGAAAAGAAAGCATGAGGGGCCATCACAGGGGGCCCCTTTTATGGAATTACTCCTTAACCTCGTGTTCCCGCCATCCTCATCTGTCTGTCCCCTAACAGCCTAGCATGTGATTCTCTGCTCTAACTCAGCCTCGTCTTACGTGTGGGGATTCGGGGACCCAGAGGGGAGGGGACCAAAACTAAGGCTCTCGGTCAGTGTACACTTTTTGCTTATTCACCAACTAGGGAAGACCCATGTGGATCGGAGCTCCCTGGGCCAGGCTGCCTACACCGCAGGGGTGCGGTCCACGTAACCCCTGATAGCTGAGGCTGAAGTCAGTATTGATTTTACCAGTGACCCTCTAATTGGGGACCACGACGCTTGCCTACTTCATAGGTTCAGTGACCTGGTCTCCGTAGCATCACAAGCCAGAAATTGTGTCTTGGTTTTATGGCTGGGACCAGAGATTCCATTTTGACTTGACAGTTGGCTGTGACCTGGGGAAGAGGGCCAGCCTGTCTTAGACGCAGCAGGTGGCTGTCCCTACAGCCGAGGCGGGGGTGAAGGCCTGCCTGGGACTTGTCAAGCCTACAGAAAGTCAAGTTCATCGCCACTGCCAGGGAGAACTCTGGCAGTTTTTTGATTAAATGCTTGTCCTGTGCTGGGCACAGTATTACCTAAGTCACACACTCCTTTCAGATTATTTGATGAGATTCTTCACATGAGCAGTCTCCAAGGTGTGGAGCCCATTTCTTCTCCCAGATAAACTCTTATCTGTCTGCGGATTGATTAGCACAAGGTCAAGGTCCTTCCCACCCAAATCTCATGTGGTGGCAGCCGATTTCCAAAAAATAATTTCTCCCACGCTGTGAGGTTTCCGAGTCCTCATCATGGAAAAAAGCCTCTTCGGGCTGCAGGTGGGGAAGAGAGAGTGTGTCACGTGAGGTGGGAACTGCTGCCCTCGGTGGGCGGGGGTCAGAAACAGGTGAGGTCAAACCAGGTGCTGGTGGTGGCCAGGCCAGGCAGCCGGTGGGCCAGGCCAGGCAGCTGTGGGCCAAGGTGATTTTTTTTTTTTCTTCTTAAAAATTACTTTGGCTTTGGTCTTTTTTTTTTTTTTTTAACCTTTAAACGTTTAAAAGGTTCTTCGACAAATCTGGGAGGATACCAAGAAAATCACCCCAAGTTCCATCGAATACTGTGGACTTATTTTTCAGTGGAACCCAGGGCCTCTGGCTCGCCACAGGAGCCCTCTGCCTCTGGGACGCCACAGGTCGGGACTTTTCTTTTTAGATGGAGTCTTGTTGTGTAGCTCAGGCTGGTCTTGAACCCCTGGGCTCAGGTGACCCTCCTGCCTCAGCCTCCTGAGTAGCTGGGACTACAGGAGTATGTTTACTTATTTGTTTATTTTTAAACATTGAGTTAAAAAGGATTAAATGCTCGTCCTGTGCTGTGCACAATATTACCTAAGTCACACACTCCTTTCTGGAAAGCGTGGCGCTACGCCGCCGAATCTTGCAGTAAAACCCAGAGGCCTTGTGAGGTCAAGGGCATGACATTCAAACACTCAATCAGTGGTGCATTAAAAAAGGAAAAGATCAGAACCCCAAACAGTAACAAGTTTCACTCAAGCCAG